ATTCAACAATTCGTCTCCTCCGCGTCACCCTATAGCGCCATTTTGGAGAGTAACCGCTGGACGTAAACAGCGTATGCTGTTCTGTGTCAGCTGCGTCACACGGATACGCTGTTTTCGTTCAGATCAAATCACAACAACGTAGGAAACAGATCCGGCGTGACGCAGCTGTGATGCGGAGGAGACGAATTGTTGAATAAAGCCGTTTTCTTTTTTCAGGGTCAGACAGCTCTCAGATTCCATCAAAAATATCTTAATTTGTGTTCCGAAGATGAACGAAGGTCTTACGAATTTTCATTTTTGGGTGAACTATCCCTTTAAGGCAGCATGAAAAATCACCCTATTTTTATATTCTGTTTTCTATTTCTATTCTAATGCATGTTACAGATTTTATTGTGAACAATTCATCTGAGAATACAGAGTATGTTTCATTATTTTTCTTTTTTTATGTTTTGATCTCATCATTTTTAATCAAAATGTCATAACTGGACATCTGGTATAAAGTGACAGATATGGAAGAAAAGATCTATTGCTACTTCTGTTTCATCGCAACTTAGAAGCTATATATAGAAATAAAAAAAATTACAAAAGCACATAAAATTACATAAACTAAAATTAAAATGAAAACTTAAAATATTCAAATCAAAGCAATTCAAAATATTAATAAACACTATAATAGTATATAAATAATACAAAAATAACACAGTTTGTGTTCTCTCAGCATTAAAGAATAAAAATGACTTCTTTCTATCTCTTTAGGGGAGTGATGAGATCATCTAAATCTTTTCTTTTAGGCTTTTAAACTTCCTCTGTGTAAAGAGCAGAGCTACCCAGAGAGCCCGGTCAGTCTGTGCTCACTCATGGCCTTGACTGCCTTGAAGGCTCTTATTATCCACAATGCACCGTAGACTGACAAGTGCCTGCACACATTCCCAGCAGCAACACTAATTGCCGTGACATTTCCCATCTTCTCTATTTCTCTGGAATAATAACCATTCAGAGTCTCTGCAGTGCTACACTGACCTCTGCAAAAAAATAAAAATAAAAAATTCATCCTCAATTTCTTTTTATATCCATGCAATAACTCATACTTTTTCACGCTGCAGCACACAGAAAAATATTTTCACTTTTGATTCCTCACTTTCTCCTTTCCGTAAATGATTTCTGCAACAATTCTTCTCACCACCCACACAGCCCATGCCGCGAGGATCAAGTCTGACAGATGAGACCTAAGCACTAGGAACATATTATGGTTTTTGTGTTCCTCTTCCCACCGTTGTTAAAAGTGTGCTCTCTGTGGACTAGTAGGACTTGATAAATATCCACCGCATTGCACCAACTTAAAAATTCTGTTAAGTATGCTAATGGCGGGGTGGGCGTGCAGGAGCACTAGCAGAACAACAAAGACGCTCATTTGCACAGGAGCACGCTCTACATTAGCACCCACCAAAAAACAGAGCTAATATTTACATTTAAAATGGCATCGTGTGCGAGGCTCATTATAGCTACGAGGCTGTAAACAATCTCAACTCCTTCTAGCTGTGTCACTGTGGGAAATGCACTGGGGCTTATGATTAATCTGCTGTTGCTCTGGGTGCAAATAGAAGAGCTGAGCTTTTAGTGTTTATAAATCCAAGAACGTGTCTTGAGCATAAACAAAATAATGAAAATATGTCAGGAAATTGTAGATATCAGTGATTGAGTAAGAGCTAATTTAGGTTAGATGTCTATGGGCCGCATGCGCACTGCAGCTTCAGTACACACATAGTTCAGTTGTTTACTGAAGTCACTTCTTTAAGATGCAGATAATGACATCTAAATGGGTAAGTGTCATGACTCATTTGCAAATTTTGGTGGTGAAATGAACAAAACAAAGTCATGAACAATCCTTTTCCAATCCAGTCTGTGCCTGAGGTGTCATTTATGCAAAATTATATTACAATGTTTCTTGTATTTCGCAACACCTTTAAAGTAAAATGTCCAGCGAGTGGCGCTAAAAGTGCATTCAGTTTTATCTTAAATAGATGAACGTGAATCTAGTAATGTTTTATGTACCGTGGCATTTTGGAAATGAAATGTCCGATAAGTGGTGCTAAAAGGTTAATGCTCTTTATCAAAAGAATGATGCTGTACTAGGTGCGCTACTGAGCAAGTTTACTACATCAGAAAAGCTATACATATGGCCCTGGTTGTGTGGAACACATTTAAAAATGTATTAGTTTAACAATCATGCACTATGGTAAAAGCGTTTTGAGGTCATAACATAGTATTGTGCTAGTAACCATGCACACAAAAAGTTTTTAATAATCTGCTATTGTAATCATAATATGTGTGAAAAGGAATAAAGTTGTTAGCGTTTTACTCCCACTAGTGTTCACTTCAGCTGGAAACTGCAGTGAATTATTTGTATAGGTAATTTGGGGGGGGGAAATATTTTTTTGCAAAAATTTACATAGAGGCACATTTTTCTAATGAGCCTGTGTTGTTCTTTTCCGCTGCTGAATCCCCCTTCCTTGATACCTCATTAAAAAGGTGTTATCTTAATATTTTGTTCAAGCTAATCTAAAGGGCTGTTCTTAGCCAGTTAGCATTATGCTATGCTATGCTAGTTAGTTAAGCTGTTAAGCTCTGCTAACAGATAACTAACTGAAAACAAAAAAGAAAAGAAAATGTTTGATTTGACCATTTTAGCTTTGGTGATATAAATGCAATATGTGACGTAATTTAAAACGATTAAGCTAAACTAAGCTGTTAGCTTGCTAGCAGAAGAATAACTGAAAAAAAGAGAGTGAAATGTTTCTGTAGGCATGGAGCACAGCTAATGCCTACAGAAAAGAAGGCATAGTTTGTACTATTTAGTCTGTAATGTAACAAGCCAATTACAGTAGTCTACAGAATATATAAATAGAGAGAGAGAATCTGTATGACTAAAGCACAAATACTCTTCACATTTATATATAGCAACAGAAATAAGGAACTCCTCACACTGACATTCCAGGTTGCCTTTAATACACAATATTAGACGCAAGCCCAGTCTAGAACTTACAGCGCAAGGCCGCCAACAGTGTACAAGGGCCATTTATTCTCTAATGGAACATTATAGGGGCCGGCACTGCTATTGTGCAATCACTTCCCCTTTACCGTTCCCGCAAGGCACCCTCTTTGTGCAGCTAATAGAATACCGCTCCAGCTAACAGCTACCTCAAGCGTTTTGGACATGCTGTGACACTCTGGAGAAGTGAGGATTTGACCACAGCCAGGAGAATAATGTCAAACTTTGAGCGGTTACACAGTGCGAACAAAAACGGCATGAACAGATGAAAGGACGGTCAAGATAAGCACTCAATTAAGGGATTCAAATTAGAAGGCGTCACCTATGTTAATTCAGCTCTGTAATCATAAGCAACAAAGGTCATATGAGTTGCTGAAAGAAATGAGTGCACAAGCAGTTCAGTAAGATGTTAAAATGAACACACATATGCATAGGGAAACAGGCAAACGTTTTCCAGGCATCTTCTGTTAAAACAAGCTTGGCGAGGCATGGTTGAGAACCAAAAATAATGACCAAATTTCTCCCCTTCTTTCAACAACAGCTCCAGCAATCACAAGCAGAAAAAAAACAGTCAACGCTCGACGTGATTTATACGAGCAGACACAATGCTGGGCTGACTTGTGCACACGCTCCAGTGGCAGACAGCATGAGGCAAGGGAGATGCGGAGTGAGATGATGAGAACTTCTTCTTGGGGAAGCTTTGTCAACAATAAGGTATCCAGTATCAACAGGTTACAAGTTAAAACCTATAAAACAATACAAATAATACAGACCTAAAAATGAGTTTCAAGATGTATATTCTATGAAAACAAGCCTTGTATTATGCAATATTGACTAACAAATTTGACTTTGGTTGAGCTTTCAGAAGGATTTATGCAAATGGAAATTATTTGACTATTAATGATTTAATAGTTAATTGTTATAAAGAATTACACTACCCTTCAAATATACATTGCATCCGAAATCAAATACTTCTCTACTATATAGTATGCGAAAAACAATACGCGAAAAAAAAAAAAAGAGTAGTATATCTGAATACACCGTATTCGAAAAGTATACAAAACTGATGCTGTAGGTCACATGACCACATCAATATGGTGGATGTAGTCAGTGTTGGGGAGTAACTAGTTACATGTAACGGCGTTACGTAATTTAATTACAAAATAAATGTAACTGTAATCAGTTACAGTTACTAAGAAAAAATGTGTAATTAAATTACAGTTACTTATGAAAATGTTAACGATTACAAAGGGGATTACATTTGAATATTTACACACATCCACATACAGATTTAATTGATTTATTTCCCAAATTGCACTGACTACTCTGACATATGGCCCTATAATTTCCGCGATGCGGAAAACAGACTGGTTCGTAGAATCCAGTCATAAAAACGGAATTCCTAATATAGCCTAACGCGGACAGAATATGCCACATTTTGGACGAATAAATCAAAAGTAGGTCAGTACACTTGAATCAAAGCGCGATATGGACTAGTGTCTGTGAATATTAAGCCGCAAAAAGACAATAAATGAATCCTGCACGTTCTGCGTGTCTGTGGAAATCAGGCAAAGACTGGCCATCAGGAGAACCGGGACAATTCCCGGTGGCCTGGCAGCCGATTTGGCCCGCTATTTTAATACTATTATTGTATAATTGCCTGCCGAATATATTAAAGCGAGTAAGGTTAACCCTGCATGGTGTAGGTGTTTGAACATTATTAACAGTTGCAAATAAACATTCATTAGAAATTTTGAAAAGTAATCAAAAAGTAATCAAAAGTAATCAGTTACATTACTTTAACAAAGTAGTTGAAAAAGTTACACTACTATTACATTTTAAATAGGGTAACTTGTAATCTGTAACCTATTACATTTCCAAAGTAACCTTCCCAACACTGGATGTAGTATACCGAATTCCATTCATACGACCCATATTCATACTATACAGAAAATATGGTAACACTTTGGAATATGGAAAACTGTTCTGTCATTAATGAATAGCTACATAAGAACACATGTGTAACACAATATTAGCACTCTAGTAACTACTAGTAACTAACAAGTAAGTAATACTGAATTAGTAATTAATAGTGCTTAACCTAATGTTATAGTTCACTATTAGTTAATCAGGAACTACTATTTTTTCCATACCTCCCCAAGAACCACTAAGAACTACTGTAAACAGGTTCATAATTAAAATGAATAATGCATAATGTATAATTAATTCTAAAGTGAAGGTCATGGTAACCCAACTAGTGACTCAAGTATTACCAAATTCTTCAGAAGGAATTACTTATTATTTGGATCAGTATTCTAAAGTGAATAACATGATAACTCTCTAGTAATTACTGAAATCATTGGACGCTTTTGACGTTTTTGTAAGATTCTTGATAGTAATTCCTTTTGTTAGATTTGGTAGCACTTGAGTCAATACTAGTGGGTTACCGTGATCTTCACTTTAGAATACTGATCCAAATAATCAGCAATTCCTTTAGAAGGATGTAGTAACACTTGACTCATTACTATCAAAGACCTTACATATATCTCAAAAGCTTACAATGACATCAATCAATATTAAGGAGTTATCATGCTTTTCACTTTTAAATACTGATCCAAATAATTAGTAGTTCCTTTAGAAGGATTTGGTAATATTTGAGTCATTACTAGTGGGTTACCATGATGATCTTCACTTTAGAATTAAGTATACATTATGCATAATTCACATTAATTATGATTATGAACCTGTATAGTAGCTCTTAGTTCTTCTCCGGGATATATGAAAAAAATAGTAGTTACTGATTAGCTAGTGAACTACCACCTTCAACTGAGCACTATTACTTACTAAATCATTAATCAGAGTTTCTTGTTAGTTAATAGTAGTTACTAGAATGTTATTAGTGCATTAGTTATTTGTTCCTGTGTAGTTATTCATTAACGACAGAACTGTATTCTAAAGTGTTACCGAAAATATAGATTCATACTACATACAACATACTAGTTCAAATTCAAATGAAGTAACTATTCAGACAGTATGCAACTTTTTTGTAATAAATGTTAAATACCTCGTAAATAAATACTTAAAAAAAAACATAGTGAATATTTTTTTCATACACAACATTGCATGTGTGTCATTGTCATTCTGTGCTTCAAATAGCTGTAAAAGCTTGCAACCAGTACAGTCCAATTCACAAGCAAATGTCTCACCAGTTCTTTCAATGAAAAATTCATCAGACTGGTTTATTGAAGTTCTCGCAAGGAACACAGAATGGGCCAGAAAAGCAGCAGACCACAGGATAGACAGACATCGTTTGACCTGAACAGATCAGCAGTGATATAATGGAGAAAGCCAGCTGTAATACGGTTGTGCAAACAGAAATGAGACGTGTAAAAGTCAGTGAATGAGATTCTGGGCGACCAATGCTCTATCAATATTCAGAAGCCAGAGATCAAAACCAATAAAGCTAAAGGGCTGCAATTTGCGCCTTTAATCCAGTGAGAAGCAATCACCAGCAGCAAGGTTACAGTTGAGGAGCCGGACAGGGAGAGGGAGATTAGCTGGATGAAGGTTAGCTGGAGAAAGAGATGGAGAGAAAGAAAGAGAAATGTGGTATGAAATAGAAGGTTAGAGGACAGAGAATGGGGATCAAACCAAAAGCCACAGCCTCACCATGGGCTCCGCATTGATCTCTTTGAGCTTTGAATGAGCAGTGGTGGATCACACACTCTCTCAGATGTGTTGGTCACTCTATGGAGTCCTCCAACACCAATAACATATGTGCGGACAAAGGACATTATAAGATATCGCCACTTATCAGCTATCACTTCTCTATGATTCTGTTCCTTATAGTTACACATTAGAAAACTTCATCCAGTGAGAGTTTGTGTTGCACAGTGTGGAAGATTCAACAGTACACTGCAAAATTAACTAAATGAATTAAAACAAATACAAATGTACTTGAGCAGCAGAAAATAAATTTTGTTTTCAGAAAATAAATCCTGAATTGCGTTTGTGTTTCTCACACCATTTTCTTGTTTTAAGCACAAACCTTACTAACTTTAGTTAGATCTATACTTAAAACAAACTTTGACAATGGGGTAAGTAACAAATGTAAACAAATTAACAAAACAACAATTGAGTTTCAAGATGTGTATTTTATTAAAATAAGCCTTAAATGAATGTTAAATAAATAAAATTGCATAAATGTTATACAATATTGTAATATTGTGAAATATTGTAAAATTGTAAATATTATTACAACTTAAAATAACTATTTTCTGTTTTAATATATTTTAAAAAGTAATTTATTCCTGTAAAGCTGGATCTCATCAGCCTTTACTCCAAGCTTCAGTGTCACATGATCCTTCAGGAATCATTCTAATAAGCTGATTTGGTGCTCAATAAATATTTCTTATTATTATCAAAGATGGAAACATGTGCTGCTTGATATTTTGTGGAAACCATGATTCATTATTTTTCAGGGTTTATATTAAAAATGGATTTGATTAATAGAACGCTCTAAAGAAAAGCATCTATTTGAAATAGTCTTTTGTAACATTATAAATGTCTTTTGCTGTCACTATTTAATATGTCATTGCTTGAATAAGTACTTCATTTAAAAAAAAAAAAGTTTTTGCCTTTGTAATATTTCATTAAAGGGGTCCTATTATGCTTTTTCACTTTCAACTTTAGTTAGTCTGTAATGTTGCTGTTTGAGCATAAAAAAGATCTGCAAAGTTATCTGAGTCAGAGTAATAAAATATCGCATTAGTTGGCCAGCTGGCAGCTTTTCATCAGCAGACAAGGATCTTGAAGTGATGTCAAGATCTTATCCTTGAAAATATGATGATAGCACTGAGTGTAATATAAAGTTGTTTTGGATACAAGCAACTGCTAAAAGACTACTTACTAACTACAGTATTGTGAAAAAGTAAGTGCACCCCATTTAAAAATATGAGGTGTGTTGATCATTTTAGTCAGTATGTAGCAGACAGAATGCACCTTTGAAAGGCTTGTAGATCCTGTAATTCCCTGAGATTAGACATGAGATGGTGCTTTGAAGTTTGTGTAGACATTGTGCTCCTACGTTGAGAGAGAAAAAGAAAGTGGAGGCTGAATGTTTACACCGCGTGCAGGGCCTCACTGCAAGCTAAAGCCGAAAAGGAGAAAGGATTTTAATCTTCTAATGTATCTATTGAACCTGTTCCACTCATTTTTCCCTTCATGTCCCTCTCGCTTTAGACAACTCTCACGCCCTCAAGATTGTCCCATTTCATTCTTTTATTTTCCTCATTAATTTACTGAGCCACAGCTGCTGCCAAAGCTTTGGGCAGAAAGAAGCGAGGCTCTCGCTCTCTCTTGGCAGAACTATAGAAGGAGGAGGCGGAGGGAGGGAGAGATAGAGAGAGAGACTGGCTTTTACCAGCAGATATTTTGGAATTCGATTTCAATGTGGCTGTTATTGAATATTCCCTAAACAGACAGATATCGCAGTGCGAAAAACACTCTGGTCAATGTGCAGTTCCCCTGCAATTCAAGTGAAGACTGATTAAATTGTGACTGATCCAAATGTGCCTGATATATATGCAGTCAGTACACTCTAAAATCAGTCGATAGTCACTCACCCAGTCTCCACTGGCTTTTGCAGGAGGATGTCAGCCATACCGGGTGCATTCAGGACTGGTTTCTTCAGTCGGATTGGATGAGGAGAGGTTGGCCTAGAGCTAGAAATATTCCTCGGAGCATCTGCAACACACAAGACGTTTTACATTGCTGCCATCTGGTGGAAATCACTGTCATGTCAGCCATACAAAATGCAGAGCACATACTTGTCTGTCTCTCCAGGGACAAAGTGGGGAGACGCTAACCTTCTGATGCTCCCGAAAGGACAACTGATAACTGCTTTTGTCAGTCTTCCTGTCTACTATCAATTGGGGAATGTAAATGGTCTATCTGGGCCCTGTGACTCACCTGTGCCGTTTTCCCAGATAAGAGGGTCAGAGTATGAGATCATAGCAAAGCGTCTACACACTTCTTCCTGGTCTCTCTGGGAAACAAAATAGAGCTTTGTGAGTCATGTGATTTCATAGTTAATTTCATTTTCTTAAATGTAATTAAATTTTTATATTATTTATAAATTTTCATTTATAAATGTAATATATATATTTAATGTTGCAAACAAACAAAATAAAATAAAAAAGTAAATAATAATAATGATAATAATAATACAATAACACTTAATTATTTTTTATTTTAATCATTTATTTTTTATATAATAACAATATTATTATAATTGTTATAATAATAACAACTTTTCTGGTTTTTATTTTATCATTACTTTATAATAATTTCATATAATTGTTATAACTTTTAGTTTTAACTTTTAATAATAATAATAATGATGATATTAATATTAATAATAATAATAAATACAAATAAAAAGGAAATATATAAAGTTCAATCCATTACATTACAAAAAGTGTGGCATCACTCCAAACTCACAAATCTTATAGTCCCACACACTGACCTCCATCTCCTCCATCCTCATCCACATGCTCTCTAATGTGGGGCCCTGCAGCTGCCTTTCAGCATCAGTCTCAGCCACCTGCTGCCTCTCAGTTACCCACAAAGCTCGAGCGGCGTCCTCCAGAAGATCTTCCAAAAGAGCTTCGCTCAATTTGTCCGCACTGGCCCCAGGCTGTCGGCATTTACAACACAACACAGCACAGAATAGTATCGCATTACAATTTTAATTTGAAGCTGTTTACTTTGGAGGTTAAAATGTTCAAATTAATCCTTCTCACATTTTTGTTTTGTGTGAATGTTTGTAATTTGAACATTCATTAAATATTCAGTTTACAAATGTTCTCAGTGCTTGGTGAGAACTCTCTTTCCCAGACTCTTTTAATCCTTCTTGGAGATTTTAACAAATCAAATCTTTCCTGTGAACTCCCAAAATACAGACAGCACACACACACACACACCAGAGACAGTAATATATTGCTGTAATATTCAGTAATATATTTTAGCTTTTTTTCCACATCTCTTTTTGAAAAAAAGTGTGGGTTCTCACCTTATCTGCAACATTCAGCCGCTCTCTGAGTGTGTCACTTCCTGTTCCAACCACCTGCCGTACAAATATGAGACAAAAACAGTAGAGACAGGATTCTCTATTTACAACCAACATACACACACAACAGCTGTTCTCAGTGTGCCCAAAGGGAAGAACATTAAAATATTAGGGAAAAATTGTCCAAATGGTACACTCAAGTCTTACAAGGATTTATATCTCCTGCTGATACAATAACATGTCATAAATTATTTGGGAAAAACAACATCAGATGAATGTGTTTACCTGTGGTTGATCCAACAAAGGCTGAATTCTCTCTCTAGCGGTCTGCTCAGCTTTTTCCGCCCATTGTGTTGGAGAGCCCACTGTGGTCCTACCATGGCCACATATTAATACACATCAGTGCAAACACACACTCAAATAATAGAAAGTTCAATGAACCTTTCCAAAGTTATGCTTTATTATTAAAACTTTATGCATATATAATTTTATAATAATATTTATATAATATTTTATAAATTTCTTCCATTTTTTTTTGCTATTTTTCTGGCATATAACATGAAAAAAAAAAAAACTATTTTTAAAGTGTAGTGGTATATTTAATAAGATAAATTAACTACATAGACAGGTGATATGAGACTTAAAAAAACACTCAAATTCATTTCCAGCCATTGTCTACATCTGGATTTTCATACATCATTATTCAAGAATCCCCAACACAAATGGATTATGTCAATTTCAATTTTGCTAATTTAAATTGATTGCAACCAATGAAGTTTAGTGATAAAATGTTCAAGAAATGCATTGTATTTTGCATACACAGTTCACTGAACCACTGGTTAACTATAATAATGAGGAAGCTGCTGTCGTACCGGAGTATGTTAATGCGGTCAGCCACCTCTTTACTCAGACGATTCAGTTTTCTTAGTCTGTCTGCAGTCACCCTGTCCAGCCAGGCTTGCCTATATAGCACATAAACATACACACCACTGAACATCTACTGCAGTCTCATACTCAACAGCTAAAAAATATAATCTACATCAGCGAACGTGAGCATTTAATGTCACAATTGAGGATCATAGTGATGATCGTTTAGTTAGAAAGAGAGCCCAGTGATAATGAAATGTCTTAAATAACTGAAAGAGAGGGTTCATTACATACCTAAGGGCTTCATTTTGTGCTTGTTTCCTGTCATGTGATGAAGGGCTGAGCTGTGTGCTGCCACTGGGTCTGGTCTGTGGCTTCTGCTTTTCAGGGCTCTTTTTAGGTGAGAACAGACATCTGGGCTCTGGCCGGCTAGACACAGCACTATACATGAGTATATATCAAGCGTAGCGTTAGTTTTGGCAGGTCACGTTAGTCAAGCTCGCATCAGCTGACTCTCAGCTGATCCCCATCTACCTATAGGAAGACGACACCTATCTAAGCATTCATATATAAGGTCCCTCAGTATTATCAATTAGGAGAACACAAAGGTGCAAGCATATCAAGTCCTGTGTGCAAGATGTACTGACCGTGGGAGAGGAGGAGAGTGAGGGGATGTTGGTATCCAAGGCACAGTGGCCTCTTTCTGAGGTACCTGGTTTTCCCTCAGTCGGGATGAGACAGTGGGCTGCTGGAAGCTGGCATCACAAACATGACCGGCCTGTTGAATGAGGGGCAGTGTGTTGTTGTTTTTTTTGTTTGTTTAAATGCACAACCATTTAAGTCTATTGTAACGAATCAGCTCATGGGAAATATGAATAATTAATCATAACTAGTTATAATTAATTATGAATATTTTAGATCCGCTGTAGATATTTACTTGACCTCTCAGGGTCAACTGTCTTGTCAATTCTAAGAACGTTAATTTCCTGGTTAAGGGAAATAACTTTCTTACTGTACAATTTTACAAAAGCTTGTAGCATAAATCTGTAATGCTCAACAAGGCTGCATTTATTTAATCAGAAATACGATAAAAAACTGTAATTTTGTGAAATATTATTACAATTTAAAATATCTGCTTTCTATTTCTATCTAAGCTGAATTTTCAGCAGCCACTCCAGTCTCAGTGTCTCATGATCCTTCAGAAAAAAAATTGTAATATCATGATTTGGTGATCAAGAAACATTTCTTATTATTATCAATGTTGAAAACAGTTGTGCTGCTTAATGATTTTGTGGAAACCTTGATAAATTTTTTTCATGACTATTTGATGTTAATAGAACAGCACTTATTTAACTATTTTTACTGCCACTTTTGATCAATTTAATGCATCCTTGCTGAATAAAAGTAACTTCTTTCAAAATCTTATTGACTCTAAATTTTTGAAAGGTAGTGTATCTCAATAAAAAGTAGAGCTATAACTAAACCAAGTATAAATAAATTGTTAATGATAATAATAATAATAATAATAATAATAAACCTTAGCATGGTCTGGGTTGATGGCACTGGTAGTTTTGTTGGGTTTCTGTGCTTCTGCCTCTCTCAGTTTTTGATGATGCAAGAGGTTCTCTAGCCCTGCCCTCAGAACTACGCTGCGCTCCTTCACCAATGCTTGTGAGGTCCTGTGGGATTTTTCTGCCAGTCTGCTGCCTGCATTCATTAACAAAATCTCAGATTTTCTTTTGCAATACCCTGAAATCAAATACCTGCAAATGGAGCAACCAGCTCACTCTGCAAACCACTTCCACACAAGATAAATAATTCAGTAATGATTTCATTTTGATATACAGTGGCCCAAAAGTATTTGTACAATTGTCACTTGGTTAGATGTTTTGCTATATAGTGCAAAAACATTCAGAAACTTTTAAATGTGGCTTAAGTGTCCAAATTCTTTTTTGGGGCCACTGAACTTATGGACAGAAACAAAACCAAAACGCTTTTTTAAATATGAACGTCACCTTGGTTGTCATGACTCACCACCAGGCTTTTTTGCAGCAGCTGGCTTTCGGGGTCTTCGTGAGGTCCTCTCAGCTGGTGCTCTGGCAGGATGGGGAGGGGACATGCTGCGGGCCTTGACCCTGGTAGAAGTCTTTTCCACTGGGTTGACATTTTGCAAATCTACATCTCTTTACTTGGTTGTCTCCTGTTTACTCAGTGCTGAGTCAAGCGTCTGAGCAATCACAAACAAAACAGCATTAAATTAAGGCTTTGACATTTATTGAAAGTTTATTGTATTTATATATGGTATATCACCTCTAATTTCTGCAGGATGTCGAGGGCTGTCTCTGGTACGGCAGATCCTTGCCCCACCTCTGCTTTGGCTGAGCAGAGAGAGAGCTGGCGAATCAGCTGCACCAGCTCTTTGCAGTGGGTGGGCACTCTGTTCTCTGCAGGGTCCGACAGCTGGTTGATAAAAACCTGCATGGCTCTTACAGCTCCCTGGTGAGCAGCAGCCAGTCTGTCCATTGCCCTGGACTGAGAAGACATCCATAGAAACTTTTAAAACCCCTGCATGACTCATTCTTGCACTTTAAAATCAAGCTATATTCAAAACTTTCTGATTTAGATTTTTAGGGCAAAATAGACTTTGATACCTTTTTGCTGTGTTTGACATTCTGGGAACGCAGCTTGTCTAGATCCTCCTGTATTTCTTTAACCTTGAACAGAACAACAAAACAGTCCTGATGTGGATCTGTAAAGCTGCCTTTTCATCTCTGACAAATGACAGACCAGAAGTCATTCATGTACAAGAATGCATGGTTTCGCATGATTTTCTGACTACATGCAGAATTTTTGGATCCAAATTGAGCATCATGTGTGCTGAAATAGTTGAACGTTCTCAGCTAAATGTGTGCACTATATCTGTGAAATGGGTGGTAATGAATAATTATGTCTGAAATCATTATTTACACAATTATGTTAATTAGCCCTAAAAACTATTATGCTTTTCTTTCAAATGTACTGACAGTCATCTGTTTTGTATGGATATATTCATATATTCATTATTCATTCATACATTCATTCAACCATAGTGAAATTGCAGAATTATGAAAAATTATGTCTTACATTTTTATTTTATAATTATTTATGATAATTAGCCCTTGGTATTACTATATTTTAAAACTATTTTTTTCTTTCAAACATATTGGCAGTCATTTGTTTTGTGTGGATATATTCAAACATTTAGTATTAATTCATTTTACCATGGTGAATAAGCGGAATTATGAATAATTATGTTCAAAATAATTATTTTCGAAATCCCTTCGCAATTATTTGCGTTAATTATAGGCCTAGAAAATCTACTTTTCTTTCAAACGTACTGGGAATAATTTATTTGTGTGGATAAATTGATACATTCATTATTCATTCATTTAAAACCTTAAACACATTCATTTAAACCTTAAATCTTAAACCTTTTACATTATTTTCAAAACCAATTTGAAAGTTCTGTGCAACTTCCACTTGGGCGTGACAATCGTACATAAATATGAGAGATAGTGAAAAGGCAGCTTAAATTCCTTTTTTTTTTACTTATCTAAAATATAGATTTTTCTTTCTTAAAAGATCAGTACATCGCTGTGCCACCTTTATGTTTGTGAATTGCTGTGCTTACAGACCTGCTGTTGTAACACATAGATGATGCGTGCGGAACGGGCTGCCTGCTCCTGTCGCCGGATCTCCATCCTTTGTTTCTCATCAGACTCCAGAACCTCCACAGCATGTCCTGCAGAAAACCCACATGCACACCTCTTAAAAAGCATATAAAATACATCCTACGGGTGCTTAGGATTAATGAGAAGAATACCTTTATTAGCTAACTGCTCTATCCTCTGAACATATGTGCTCAGCTCCTTCTGTAATTTACGGATCTCCTGGGTGAGCTGAGTTTCACCGCTGTTGACTCTCAGGTCGAGGTCTTTGGTGGGTGCCTGGCCCTGTTTAAGTTGGCTATTGGGTTCCTGAGGAGTATAAACAAGCACCTGAGCACCGTCTTTTAATTGCTTCTTTGGACCTGACATCTTTGGGTGCACCACACGAGGACTGTATCTATCTATGTTGCTTCTTTCAGGGCTGTTATTCTGGGATCTCTCTGCTGGCTCAAGTGACAAACGGCTGATGGATTCCTGGTGTTTCCTGCGCAGATCTCTCCTGGCGAGTCTGATGGCAGCCTGCAGGCGCTCTTCTGAGAGGCGTACGGAGCTGCTGCAGCTCTCCAGATCATCCTGCCTCTCTGTACGGGGTATAAGTTTCTCTATTATGATGGGAGAAGGGGGCCCCATGCGGGTGGCTTGGTTAAGAACACTGGGTGCCACTGTGTTATTGAACTGGAACTGTGATGAGAAGAATCAGAACAAATAAGAATGCAGGAGAAGCTTGGTCATCAACAACCAAATTCAAGTTTTATCAAATGCACAAGAATACAGCATGCAGCAATACATTATATAGGACAATACATATAAAATAAGATCTTGTATCAGTAACGTTACCTGTGTTTGCAGACCAGTAACATGTGACCCAGAGGAGCCTTTTTAAATCCATTCAAGACTCACAGAGCCCAGTTCACCAATGGTCATAGCAGACCTTTTTTGGAAATCTGAAATCATCCTGATAATATTTTTACGAACTGTCTTGATGGAAGTAATAAATTCAAACAATCCGGCTTGAGTAATCTTTCTCAGAGCAAATAATTCTCTACTGACTGATCCGATTGACTGCAAAAAGCAATTGATTTATCACACGAAAACACACAATAAATGAACAACCGACGAGTAAATCCGTGTTATTACATTTTAACATGACAGGCAGTTGGTAAACAGAAGCTAAAATCAAGATTTGTTTATAGGAAATGTCAGGCAGTTTAAAACACCGCCATGACAACAAAACACTTCTTCGTGATTGTATGTCAGCTGTTATAATTGCGCTCGGGCATGTTGTCGCCCCCTATAGGACCCAAAAAGGTTTAATTTAATGAATACATTCATAATTTATAAAATAAAATTAGTTTTAAATATTGCAGTGTATTGTTAATTTATTCGTGTTGTACCTAAGAAAAAAATTTAATCCCCCAAACATACAGATAGCCTACACACAAATCTTAGATTCAGCATTAAAAAACGGGTTATTTTGTAAATAAAACTAAATCTACAGTGTTCTAAATTAAAACTAGGGGTCCAATTATATTTTCTCTACAAATATTAAAATATTACATATTCAAAAAAATTGGCTGGAAAAGTAAATTAATAAAATCATACAAAGTCATGAAAAAAAAACGTGGAATTATGAATTTTAAATACTGAAATGTGTTGTTCATTTATTCACGCTTTATTAATTCAAAACTTGAGTCCTATGCTTTTTCCCTAAACATATAGCCTAGATACAGATAAATCTAGCCTCAACATACAAAAAAAATTCTTGAGCGAATAAAACTAAAACTAAATACCAAAACAAGTTTTTCAATTAAAAGTGGAGGTCCATGAAGTTACTGGAGGGGATATAATATAATATATATATATATATATATATAGGCTATATATATATACACACACACCCTAATGTGTTAGAAATTAGGTTTGAAAAGTTATGTAAAAAAATAAAAACAATTACAAAGCCATGAAAGAGTCGTTAACATTGTTAAAATATTACATTTTTTACATTACATTTCTATAAAATATGTTTAATATATATTTTTTAAATCCTTAAAATAGCTACACTACACACCCATTACGTAAGACATTTCGAGGGCATTTCTTTGTACACTATTCTACACAGCCCAGCTGCTCTCTACCCTCGTTTCCTCTTCAATACGCTCATGTCAGATACACTGTCCCCATGGTAACACCACTCAAGCGGTGAACTTCTGCCACAGACAGTAGACAGCTCACCTGAATAGAAGAGAATCAGAGCACATGAAATATGGGGCATGAACAGAACAAACAATGTGGTCGAACAACAAACAACAAACTGCAGGCCAAAACGCAATATCGAGCTGTTTATGGACAGAGGAAATCAGGCCAGGGAGGGGTCGAGAGAAAGAGGAGGTTGGCCTGAAGGCCTGTCTACCAAATCAATTTGTTAGTTATTAAGCACGCAGACAATTCAAAAGCCCAGAAAGACACAACCCAGGGTGGCACACAGACGACATGAATATATTTGATTATATTAAAAAGCATTCAGGCGACCACTCTGAACTATGGTCCGGAGCAGGGATATTTCTGCAAGCTATGAGGGAAGGGAAGGTCCATCTTGCGCATTTCATGCTTGTGGCCTTGGGAGATGGTGCGGTAAATACCTGTGTGGAGACTGAAGGTGTGACCGGCCGCACTCTGTTAATGTGCGCCGCTGAACTGACACACTCCAGCACCTGCACTTGCTTCATGCAGCTGCTCCTCAGGCTCGGGCGGATATAGAGCGACGGGACGAGGCAGGCCGAACCGCCCTGAGCCTGGCGAGTCAGCACGGATACCTGGATGCTGTACGACTTTTGGTACTCAGTGGTGCAGACACCCCTGACAATGAGGGCAAACGTCCGTTTGACTATGCCACTCAGGAGCACCACTGTGATGTGGTTCAGTTCCTGTTGAAAGAGTTCAAAAGACAGAAGATAAAAGACAAACATGGAAAGGTCACACTATCAGGCTCAGTGGAAAAATTATCAAGCTGGCAACCAGAAAACAGACCTAAAATTGGTTGTGGTGCTTTTCCCAGAGGCCTCAGGCGTTTGCTGGGTAACAAAGTGTGTGTGATTTGTTTCAGACTGAACTTGTGATTTGCAACCCTTATGCACTGGAACATGATGAAGAGAAACGGCTCAGAGGACACGAAAAATATCCCAACAGTGACTTTCCGCCATCCGCCCAGCTGGCAATCCCTTACCAGGTCAATAAAAACCCAGCTTTTGCATCAAAAGCTGGATTTCTCCCTGCCTGGATGGGGAAAGGAGCATCATGCCACTTTGATTCAGTGCTGTGCACTAATAGCAGCTTCTGGAGATGGATGACACCTAAGATGGTTCCTCACTCAGCCTTTGAATCTCAGATTAATCTGCTGGTCCCCAGTGAGGATGTTGAGGATGCCGAAATTTCTTCTTCAACAGCAGAAGACATATGATTCATAGACAAAGGTGTGCAAAACCATTGCTTTCTGGAGAAGGGCAGTGAGAACTTCCTTGGACTTGAAAGAATGGAAAGGTGCAATCTCAGCCTGTCTAGCCATGTACATTTTTCTAAATCAGACAAGAATTCTTTTCATGTATTTGTACAGTGTAATCAGAATTATGTACACACCACATCAAATGTATTTGGGACACAGCGGTGACACACTTACCCAGAGCTGAGGCTTTTTTTCAGAGGAGACTCAGAGACAGATCTGCAGGCACTGGTATCTGAAGACCAACCCTAATTAAAAATCCCCAAAATTGAAATATTCATTCATTAATTTATTCTAACAATCTTACTAGAATTTATGTTAATGTTTTTAAAGCAGACCTAGCTATATACAGTGTGAATGTATTTTAAATATTAAGTAATTTATTTTTTATGTATTTATTTATTTGTTAAGTTTGTTCAGGTAGGCCTAATAAAAAGCTAAATATTTTAAAGTTTGTCATTCCAAACTTGGGCCAAGTTTTTTTTTTTTTTTGTCTTGGTTTGGTTTGGCTTGTTTAACAAGTCACAATTATTCAGTTAGTTGAGTCAAATAATTTATTTTTATGACAAAATATTGATTGTGAATTAAATTAATATTGTGTTGATTGATGAATGCATTTTCAATAGGTTTGTTTTAAATATCATAGATTGATTTCCCATGTTGGATACCTTATTAAATTACTACATTATGTTCTTCTAGATGTAAATTAGTTATATGTAATTAAAAAGTCAGAAACAGAATATAGTCAAGTTAAATATAAGTTAAATATATCAAGTTAATTTTTACACTTTATTGTCTTTATTAAAACGGTATGGTATTACATCGCCCTCTTGTGGATTTAAAAAAAACATTAGACATGTTCATTATGTTCACATAACTTATGAAAATCCCATTTTCACAACATAGATAAAAATCATGCTTTGGTAAACCATAATTATAGCATAAAAAGTCAAAGTGTTGACAACACTTGAAAATATGATGTAAAAATTGGCAAATCTAAATATTTGGCATAACTGATATATGATGTCATAATTATGACATTAGGCTTGTTCGAGATGTGTGTCACAACTTTGACTTTTAAACTTTTAAATATGATTTACCAAAGCAGGTTTTTTTTCTTATGTGGTGGAAATGGGCATCATGGCAGAAATAAGTGTATGGTAAAGTTTTGGGTCTCTGTGTAGCTAAAACGTTTTTAATAAAAGAGTTTTAATACTACTAAGTGTTCTCGGAGCATTTATTAAAGTTTAGGAAATTTAAGAACCCATTTCTCATCAGGAGGCCAACAATCAAAATATCTTTGCAGAAGAAGCTGGCGAGGTGGGAATGTTACGCTAGACACAATTACACTAGGTAATGGCCTTGTTTGAACTTCACTGATTTAAAAATAATTGGAATGAATTTCCTCTACATTAGGAAGCATTCAGAATGTCATCTATATCACATTGTAGCCCTGACCAGCAAGCCGTAGGGGAATTACCCTCCTTATCCAGCCCTGGCAAGACTCCCAGCTAATCTCCCTACAGGACAGTGCTGTGGAAACGGGCACAAAGCATGACCACTCTGCTTCCTCTGCTTTTGACGACTAATTATTCCAAAAACAAACGAGAACAGCCCACAAATCTGCCACATAGGCCAAGGTGGCATGGATGCAGAAAATGCAGAGTGCCAAAAGATTGCTAAAAACCAATTTTGTTAGCTCCTTGCAACACAGTCTGAGTTTCTCTTACAAAATAACATGTGGACTACGACCATGGTGCTAATTGCAGTTTCTCACTTCCTCCTTGAGTTTGCTAATTCACATTTCTGCACAAATAGAACAGGTTGGCCTACTAATGTGCTGGCTATTTTTTTTTACCAAAATTGAATGTAATTCAAGTTCATGTACAGTAATGGCCCATTCACACCCAGGACAACAACTATCCATATACGGATATAAAAATCGTTCTAAATTTAAAAGAATAACAGAATCCACAGCACATCTAGCCTATATAAACAACACAGATTAACGATATTGTTGGAATTACACTCAAAACAATTTTTTTCCCCCAGCTGATGAACAATAAAAACATTAACAGACTCTCAGAATCCATCTGCGCTGGTGTGTAATTATTGTTCTTGGTGTGAATGAATTAGAGAATTAAAGAGTTGATTAAATTACTGATATGCAAAGTAACAAATAGCAATAACTAGTATAATATTTCCAGAACATGTAACAGCAGGGAATATCCCTTGCATATTTACAGAAATATTCTACTTACTGCAGAACATCCAGACATCATTTTCAGACTACAAGATTGACATTAATCAGAAAAGCATGCATGTAAACGTGGCCAGTGTTAGTTTGCGGCAACTTCAATGCTGTTGTGTTAAGGTGTGCAAGCAGTGTGACATCTGTCCCATTTTACAAGTCTTTATTTATCTTTATCTCACTGGAGAACATTGTAACTTCCCAATACCTCTGCTGCAAGTATGAACGGAGGGAGAACAAATATGTCCTGACAACTTTCAGTTCTGTTTAAT